CGTAGGGTGTGGGGTGTAGGGCTTTAGGGTTTTAGGGTTTAGGGTTTAGGGTTTAGCGATTAGGGTTTAGGGGTGCAGGGTTTAGGGGTGTAGGGTTTAGGGGTTTAGGGTTTAGGGTCTAGGGGGCAATGTGTCCTAAATTCTCAACCTTGAGCTACTCGAGGGTAGTTGGAGGGGAAGGTCTATGTGCCTCAAGTTGAAGCTTCGAACAGTCGGTCTTGTGTCCTTATGAATCTACCTCAAGCCCCAACCCTAAACTCCCTAACCCCTAGCCCTAAACCCAAATTGGGGGTTCTGGATTGGATTATTGCAGTCCGGGGGGGGTGCTTGGGTTTGGAGACGTGTTGGTGCGGCAGACACTAGAGTCAGGAGTCGGCTTGTGCGTTGTTTTGTCTGCGTTTCTGTGTGCATTCGTGTCTCTGTGCACGCGCGCGCACGTGTGTGTGTGTGTGTGTGTGTGTGTGTGTGCGTGTGCGTGTGCGTGTGCGTGTGCGTGTGCGTGTGCGTGTGCGTGCGTGCGTGTGCGTGTGCGTGCTTGCGTGTGTGCGTGCGCGCGCGTGCCTGTGCGCGAGTGTGCAAGTATGGCTGGATGTATTAAATGCATGCTTGCATCTGCCTGCTTGCCTGCCCTCTGCATGCGCGGATGGATGGAGGGAGGGACGGACGGACGGATGGATGGATGGATGGATGGATGTTATGTTGCCTCATGTATCGAAAGCGTATATGCGCATTGAAGACAGTTTTGCTGGCAACACCATACATGTGGTCCGAATATTGTAAAAAAGCAGCCTGAGAATCATTGGCAATACCATCGCCTGATAGTTCTTCTGTCACGCCGAAACCCTATATGCCCTAGACCCTGAACTCCAGAAATCTCATGGAACCCGTCTTAAACCCTCATACATATATATATATATATATAAATCCTTTCAAAACCTACATAAAACCCTTGGGCACCCCTGTAAGAACCAGGGAGGTGCATCTCAAACCCTGAACCCAAAAAACCCTCTGCAACCTGCAACCCTATCCAGACCCTCAACATTAAACCCAAAAGCCCTTGGCCCTAAAGCCTAAACCCTAAACCCTAGACTCAAAACCTTGAGCCCTAAAGCTTTGATTAAAGCCCCCAAACCCCAAACTCGAAGCCCTCGTAGCTCGAAGCCCTAAAGCCCTAAACCGGAACGGCGTATCAAGGTGGCAGGCGGAATCACCAAGAATATCCACGTAACGTATGGTGGTTATAGTTTAATAACCCCCAAAAACAAACAAAACCCTTTATTCTAATAGTATTCAAAGTGACAAATATACCCCAAAAAACCCTCTTCTATTTCTAAAGCTTAAACCCTAAAACCCTAAAACCCTAAAGCCCTAAAACCTAAAACCCTAAAATCCTAAAACCCTAAAACCCTAAAACCTGAAACCCTAAAGCTTCTTCATACTTCTTAGGGCTCCTTCCAAGGTGCATCAAGGTGGCAGACGAGGCGCCGTCGGACCTGAAGTCGAATCTCCGCCGTGCCTACTCCAAGTTCACCCAGGAGCCCTTGATTTCGTAGGGTTTGGGGATTTAGGGTTGAGGGTTTGGGGTTTAGGGTTGAGGGTTTGGGGTTTGGGGTTTAGGGTTTTGGGGTTTTTGGGGTTTAGGGCTTAGGGTTTGGGGTTTAGGGTTTGGGGTTTGGGGTTTAGGGTTTGAGGTTTAGGGTTTTGGGGCTTTTGGGGTTTAGGGCTTAGGGCTTAGGGTTTGGGGTTTAGGGTTTGGGGTTTGGGGTTTAGGGTTTGGGGTTTAGGGTTTTGGGGTTCTCGGGTTTAGGGTTTGGGGTTTTGGGTTTGGGGTTTAGGGTTTAGGGTTTAGGGTCTTGGGTTTAGGGCTTAGGGTTTAGGGTTTGGGGTTTAGGGCTTTGGGCTTGGGTTTTGGGGTTTATGTTTGGAGTTTGGGGTTTAGGGCTTTTGGTTTGGGTCTATAGGGCTTTGGGTTTGGGGTTGCGGGTTTGGGAAAATTTGGAAAGCACAACACGGTTTAGGACTTTGGGGGTTTCGGGTTTAGTGGTTTAGGGTTTAGGGTTTAGAGTACCCAAAGCTTGCATGCCTGCAGGAGAACATTGATGCTTGCATGAAGCCCCGCGAGCACCTTGCCGGCACAGGGTCTTGGGGATTTAGGGCTTAGGCTTTGGGAGGGTTTCGGGTTTGGGGTCCTGGGCGTATGGGGTTTATCGGAGTTGTTACACCAGGGCCTAGGCTTTATTAGGCGTTATAAGCTTTAGGGTTTAGGCTTTAAGGTTTAGGGTTACTAAACCTCGCAACACCGAATCCGAAGTTAGTTGCGAAACTACTATCGAAGCTAAACCCTAACCCAACGACCGTTTGAAGTTTAAGTACAGAAGGGTCCGGGCCAGATGAAGGCTGGAAACCCCGGCGCTACATGGGTAGTTCTCTAAATTAGGGTCCCTTTTGGGGTCCCCAATATAGTACGGCACCCTTACGAAAAGGACCCCAAAAGGGACCCTAATTTAGAAAACTACCCACATGCTTCGACCCGTGAACCACGAATTCTGGTGCCACATATGTACGGAACACCGAGAACCTGAGATACCAATGAACTCCTAGACCCCACCATAGCTTGTGGGTTCAGGGTTTGGTGGGTTTGGGTTGAGGATTTTGTGCACATGGGCTCTTACGGACATGAACTCGGATAGACCAAGTCCGCAGCTCAGCTGAGGTTTAAGGCAACGCTCTTTGCGCTCTGCTTTTTCCATTCGCTGATCTCAGGAGCCGCACATGTTTTTTTAGGGTTTGGCGGGGCTGAGGATTTACGATCTGATTCCATAAGAGCGTGTAGGGGGTCAGGGTTTAGGGTTGAAAAGTTCCAGTAACCGACTAAGGCAGAGCTCTTGTTGCTTCCATGGAGCTTAGAGCTTAGAGAGAGGAGGCTCCACCCCTAAACAGAGCTGTTTCTTATCAAGAAGGTTTTGTCAAACCACGAAGCTGAAACCCGAACAGCTCAAAGCTTTGAGCCTATATAGTGCCAGAACGCCTGGACACCAGCCAGGGTGCCTTCATCGAAACTTGTGTGGTGCGACCACTCTCAGATGCTGTTTGTGATAGTTTAGGGCTTAGGGTTTAGTGTCAGGATTAGCAACAGTGGATTGAATCTGGGCATGATTACAGGGTTATGGAGGATAGTAAGTAGGCTCTCTACTGGCATGTTAAAAGCACCTCCAAGCAGGCAAGGAGGCCAGCGAACAGGCGAGTCAGAGTTGATGATAGGAGTATGCATGCAGCAACCTTCTCGCACCCCTGCTTCAGAAAAACGAATCTATACCCATAGGCCCCATAGTAGTTCCTTTTTGGGACTACCTTATAGGATTTTAAATATGAACCCCAAAAAGGAACTACTATGGGGGCCTATGGGTAAACATGACCCCAACCCTAAGCCCTAGTCCGATGAGGCCTTGCGGGCCGCTATGTCACCACGTCCACCCGACAGCCTAAACCTCAAACCCCAAACCCTCAACCCTAAACCTCAAGCCCTAAACCCCAAACCCTCAACCCTAGACCCTAAACCCTCAAACCCTAACCCCTAACCTTGGATTGAGCCATTCTGACCTTCCTGGAAGGTCACACGAACACGCTCTCGGGCATACGGCCTAGAACTAGAACATGTACGCCCGTGGAGTCTAAATTAGATTATAGCTACTCAGAACCCCCACACAAGCCTGGTCTCGAAGTTGCGCAGGGTGTCTTAGTGCCTCGCATCCTTGAGATGAAATGGATTTAGGATTTAAGGTTCAGGGTTTAGAGTTTACCGGGTTTAGGGCTTAGAGTTCTCCTGAAGGCCCCAGTGGAGTGGCCCAGTCCCACTCGAATGTAGGGTTAGGGTTCAGGGTTCGGGGTCTAGCACCAGTATTTCTAGTCGGAATCCCTAACATATTTATAGTACAAGTCCCCGAGACCCCAGTCACAGGATTCGGGCCCATAATCCATGAAATCGAAGCCCGAATAAAGTCTTGTAGTACTCCATGAAAGAACCTTGTAAAGCCTTGTTGAACCGCCATCAAACTCTTCTAAGCCCTACATTGGTTCTCAGAGCGGGTTTATGGGGGTTTCGAGGTTTCACGACACCCAGGGATACGAGAAGTGGCATTAGAGTGAGCATAGTAACAAGAATGGATGTAGTGCTTAGGCTTTCGTATTTCGGGTAGTGCATGATGCTTATCTCCTTGAACCTAGGCTTAGGCAGGTTGTTTGATGCACGTGATCGAAGGGTTCGGCTTCAGGAACATCTGATCCCCTACATATCTAGTCACCTTACGCCAAAGTATCCTAGACCCCTCAGCTGTGGCCTTGGACAGGACGCATTAAATTCGGCGCCCAGGGTTGGCCGGGAACTCAGACTTCATCCGTCCCTTGAGATGCTACACACTTGCAGCACGTGGACATATGCATCCATTTACAGAAATATATACACACCCAAATACACCTACACACAAATGCATGCGCATACATGCACACTTTTGCACATGCACACACACACACACACACACACTTGAACACCCAGGCTTCTGGGAGGATGCAAGCGTGTGGTGACTTCAACTCAGCGATACACTCAAGCAGTGCGCTCAAGGCTCAACTGAGAACTCAAAGTAAAAATTTTCATAGGTCTCGAGGCTGGTTTACT